GCTCCAGAGGAAAAGACGACATCCTGAAACACTGCAGAGAAGCAGAGGAACTCAATGACTGCACACAGCCGCACTGCCCCGTCCTCCTCCTGAAGACCTGGGTCCGGGTCAGCGCCCCAGACGCTGTCAGGGAGTTACTGGAGCAGTGGGATACGCGTGGCTGAGCTGAGGGGAGAGTTGTAGCCACTCGGTCTCATAGATGGATCACTGAGCAGGTCAGCTGGGGGCAGATCCAGAGCCTCTGTATGAAGTACATGTGGGAAGTCAGCAAAGACATGGCAGATGAAGAAAACATGGGCTTTAAAAGCTGCAGTTAGAACCAAAACATTTAATCAGTCGACTGGGGAAAAAAAGAATCTCTCCAGTCTTTTGTAAAAATGTCAGATATTTACTGGCCACAGCTTATGTTTGGTTCTAAACATGAGTGTTTTGTTGGTTTTCTTGGCCCCCTACACCAAACTAAACATCTTCAAGTCAAGTCAAGATTTTTATTTGCCATTTATGCATAAACAGACAGTCTAGGCATATAAGAATTCTTGTGCAGCTCTCCTTTGGAGTCAGGTAAGGAGTCAAAAGCCAGAAAGAACATTTAGTCTTCAAATAAAAAGTAACATAAAGGCAACAAAGCATTAAAACCACAATGCACAAAAATAGGGTAATAGTATTTTCCCCAGTGAACTTCAAACATCACACTTAGGACTTGTCTCCATACTTGTCCTCTTAGATCTCAGTGCTGCTTTTGACACCATTGATCACAGCATCTTACTGCAGAGACTTGAACATGTTATTGGGATTAAAGGAACTGCGCTAAGTTGGTTCAAATCTTATTTATCAGAAAGATTTCAATTTGTTCATGTTAATGACGAATGTTCCACACAAACTGAAGTTAGTCACGGCGTTCCACAGGGCTCTGTGTTAGGTCCAATACTCTTCACTTTATACATGCTCCCTTTAGGCAATATTATCAGGAAGCACAACATAAATTTCCATTGCTATGCAAATGATTCTCAGTTATATTTATCTATGAAGCCAAATGAATCAGATCAGCTGGTCAAACTTCAAGCATGACTTAAAGACATAAAGGCCTGGATGACCTGCAACGTCTTACTTCTAAACTCTGACAAAACTGAAGTCATTGTGCTTGGGCCTGAAAACCTTAGAAATCTGCTGTCTAATCATATAGTTACTTTAGATGACATAGCTCTTGCCTCCAGTACTACTGTGAGGAACCTTGGAGTCATCTTTAATCAGAATATGTCCTTTAAATCACACATAAACCAAGTCTCTAGATCTGCCTTCTTTCACCTACGCAATATTGCAAAAATCAGGAGCAACCTGTCTCAAAGTTCAGGTGCAGCTGGTGGTGATTCAGGGGACGTGAAGCAGGTGTGTCAGATAAAGAAATCAGGGGTAAGGGAGCTAAAATAGAGGGAGAGAAGTGAGGAAGGCAGGTGCAGCCGGGCAAACCTGACAATTCAGTGGAAAAACAAAAAAAAAAACATACACAAAAGCAATATCTGATTCCTGGCCTTCAAGAAGTCTGATGAAAACAGAGAGTTTGCAACATGAGTCTTGCAGGCATGTACATGGACATGCAAATAAACATACAAGATTCAAGATTTTTATTTGCCATTTAGTCTACATTCTTGGGGCTGCACTCATTAACAACCTCTGATGAGCTGGAAAAAAATCTATGCTAGAATTCATCAGTTTTCATCTCCTTCAAGATTTTTATTTGCCATTTATGCATAAACAGACAGTCTAGACATATAGGAATTCTTGTGCAGCTCTCCTTTGGAGTCAAAAGCCAGAAAGAACACTTAGTCTGAAAATAAGAAAAAAGTTACATAAGGGCGACAAAGTATTAAAACACAGTATACAAAAATAGGGTAATAGTATTTCCCACAGTGAACTTCAAACATCGCACTCAGTAATTCACATGGTGGAGTTGGATATGTCATTACGCTTGGTGAGGTAGTGAGGGGTTATAACATACTAAAACACAGTTTATATTCAGGCTTGTTTCCATTGCTTGGTAGAGAATGTCCTGCTATTATTCAGGTCCCACAAGAGAACACTGTTGATGAGATGCTCTTATAAAAATACCTTGTGGAACATTTCTGTATTATTATTGCGCATGCCTAGTAAGGGGTTATTGCACATATATTCTCACATTTCTCACATTTTCGTATTTGCCATCAGTCTTACTGTGGCAGGGAAAAAGCTGTTGTAAATTCTAGTGGCTTGTCTGACAAAAACAAGATGATGTTTCGTTGAACGCTCCACTCAAGAGGCCTCTGAGTGATCAGGTTAGATCCTCTGTGGCAGTAGCCCCGGGCCTGTTTGTGATCTGATGGTTTTACTGTCCGACACAAAGAGTCCTTTCAACGTTTGGGGAAGTCGTTTTTCTGTAGGTCATTTATTACACTCACTTCCCCCCATTGACCTAAACACCTTCACCCAGCAGCAATGCAGAGTGATGCCCACTCTGCCCGAGGCTTCACCTGAAACTGTAGTTTTCAATGTCAAGTCACTTTAACTGGTTGAACATGTGAATATCAGTGCTGTTCATATTCAGCCAGGGTGGAGGAAGTATTCACATTCTTTAAAACCACAGTGTAAAAATAATCGGTTACAAAGAAAAACCCATCGAAACTCAAGTAAAAATATATAACAATCAGGAAGTAAAGTAAAAATACCCTGCGGACAAATCTCCCTGTGAGTATTATCTGTATTAGATTTTTATTTATTAATGTAACAGCTGATTACTGTTGCTGGGATTTGAGGTGGAGCTCACTGAGCTGGTTTATGGACAGCGACTGATTGTTTTCTGTATAGATTAATCTTCTAATTATTTCCTCATTTGACTGTTTGGTTTCTAAACATTCAAAAACTAGTTAAAAAGCCCCAAGAGACATCATCGCAGAGTTGGTTTTGTTCAACCTGACCAAAGGGCCGAACCTCAAAATGATTCCAAATAAATTATTTTATATTATTTTCTCTGTCCCTTCCTTTTCTTTACCCCCTGCCCCTCCCTTTTACTTATTGCCGGACTCTGTAGAGCAGAATGTACTCACACAACGCACCTTTACACACGGGTCACATGTCAAACCCCTATATATTTCTCTGTCCCATGTCCGTGTTCCACGTTTTGTCCTTACCACACTGTTTTGTGTTGCATAAAGAAAGTACACATCCACTGTGTAAAAGCAAATATGGAGAAAAACTAAATTAAAATGAGTAAAAGAATTGAAAGACAAAGCAGCTGACTGTAACACTGGAGAAGCAGGAACCATGAAAGTTTTGGGCTTTTACATTAAAAATAACTTTAGGTGATTAAAATAATAATTAATTCTAAATCAAAACTATTTCCTGTCAAACAATAAATGAAATGAATACATTACTATTGAATCATAATAGTTCTAAAATTCAATAACTGCAGTGCAGTACAAAGTACAGTATTTGATTTTGAGAAGTAGTGAAATAGATGTGTAAAGTACCATAAAAATGTACAGTACAAGCACACTTCATATTTGCACGTATTGGGTACACCACTGGAGTAGATGTACTTTGCACTGATGCTCATCGAGGACAAGACGCTGGAACAAAACACAGGAGTCAGATGTGTAAAACTTCTTTTATAAGTATTGTCACATTTAAATAAAATACAGTCAATTAATAAAAAACAAATTTCCATGTCTTAAAAGTTTAAATGAAATTTGGTAATGGTGACAAACTGTTCATTTTGGTAGACTGATCTGGTGTTGCTGAGTCTGTGAGACCTGAGGGCCACCACACAGATCACACTCGCCATGTTAATGTGCAGGTGAACACCGTGTCTGGCTGCAGCTCAAGGAAACTCTCAGTATCTGTAACCTTTTCTGCAACTTCCTCATTTCTCTTTACATCACGACTCCACCAGCACTGCTTCCTGTCTGACCTCACGCTGATGAGATTGCAGACAGTTGGTTTTGTCCACACCTGTTTGGCATCTTGCACAAAAGCTTTGTGATAAAGTATTCACTACAGAGCAGGTCTGACGCTGTGGGGACCCCACCCCCGACCCCTGACCCTCAGTCTTATTCTCTGTCTTACTCCTGTTTGGGGTTTAACTGTGCTCCAAGTGTTGAAACTGCACTTCCCATAGTGCTCTGGGGGATGTGAAGAGGATCTCTAATGATTCAGTGAATTATAATGTGGGCTGCAGTTGGAGGCCTGTGGGTTTTAGCCAGTATTTGTTGATGTTTTGGCAAATAGCCCCTATTAAAAGCAGACAAATTCACTGTGACCAGCTCCTGGGTGCAGGGTCCCCATGGATGTACAGACAGCTGTCACTGAGGAAGGGTTTAAAACATGAGGATTCTCAGGCAGGTTCTGCAGCCGCATGGGGCGTTGTCTCATTTCCTATTATTTCTAGGCAGATTTTATTCACTGCAGTATTAAAAATGCTTAAGATAATTAAAGATAATTTGCCTGTCTTTTTTAGACCCCCCTCCTCCAAAAAAAATAAAGCTCAAACTAAGTGCCACTGGCACCCCAATAGATCAAACAGCCCCAAAACTACCTTTGCTAATACTTCAAAAATAAAATTCTACACAAACATTTTTAACATGAACTCTCCAAACAGTCTCTCAGACTCGCGCTGTCTCCAGGTGGAGGCTAGGTCCTACAGCAGGATGCAGGGCTTCTTGCTGACGGTGGGCTGTGGGTTC